CAAATCTTAGACATGCACACATAGATATGACTGAAATAAAAAAAAGATAAAAAAATACCTTGAAATTCTTTTCCTTTTTTGTATTGATTGTTGTTTTCTAAAAAAATGGATAAACCCCTCTCTATTTACAATGCTCTATTGTTTCAAAAAAAATGGAAAATATCCTTTTTTTACAGAGTTTCTGCCTGATTTATATATTATATTATTACAATAAAATATTAATAAAAAACCAAAAAAATCATTTTTTCTTATTCTTTTTGTTTTCGTACAATCTGTTATGTTGAGATGCTAATGGGGTCTATTGGATTTGCTCAATTGGAAGTTGGTTGAGGGAGAGACCCACTGTGATCTTTTTAGAAGGCTTGGCAGATAAGCTGATGTGGAGTAAGGGAGCTGAGGAGGCTTTACAGAGGCATTGGCGACGACTGAAATATGAACCGAAGCTAGGGGTTGGATGTTTCATAGCACATAACTAATGTAAGAAACCAAATAATTGGAAGATGAATAAGGGCAACCTAAATCAACTAAGACTGTGTTGATGTCTGCAATAAAAACTAAAACATATTGTTGATTTGGAGCTCCTTTGAGTCCTAGGTTGTGGGTGATTGTCTTCTTTCAATGCTTGAATAGCAATGTAAACATTAATAGCGTGAACATGTGGTGTCTGGTCTTCAAATCCATAACTTTCAAATTGATGTTGACAACCACATTCATAAAGTTGAATGAAAATTAGTTTTTTTGGGTCAAACACCAATGTTTGAGGTAGACTAGCTAGGCAATAAATTCGATCATGGCATTGGATATGCTTAGGTAGATTAATATGGTGTAACATCCAAAAAATTATGCTAGAAAGAAAAGGGGTTGTAGTTTTTGGAGGGATGTATTTAAATGGTATAAGGAAATCAAAAATCATTTGGCAAAAATAACCACAAGGCTACAAAAAGATAAAAGTAATTGCATCAAGTCTTCACTGGATGTGTCTTCCCATTTCTTTAGTTTGAACTCTTGAACACACTAACTAAACACAACAACTGTTAAGATAGTACTAGTGATTGAAGGAATTTTTGTTGATACGGAGAACAAATCAAACACAAAACAACAGAATTCAAGAATCAATAACATAATTCTTACAATGGTTCCAAAACGAGGAACCATCTATAAAGAAAAAAACATTAATAAATACTTTGAAATCAAACGAACTACATTTAATACAAATAAATTTTAAAATCATACCATATGATAAATCCCAATGCAAGTTTCCCAAATATTAGCCATGAATACTTTCCTTCAAAAGTTTTTCTACAATAAAATATTATAGGAATTATATCAATAATTAAACAAATGAATAAAAAATAATAATATTTAGGCCAACCAAGAATTAATTAAGGGCCTATTTAGCAAACACAACAGAGGATAGAGATTGAGATGGATATGTAGGCACCAAAATCACAAACAAGCCATAAACATTATTAAAAGCACATGGAATTGAAATCATGACTAAATTTCGTTGATAGAAAACTCGAAGAAACATTTAATATACATGCAATTACCAATTTGAAAGAAAGAAAATAGAGTGCTAGCTCTACTAATATGTGATTCTCTAATCACCCGTACCCTAATTAGACCAACAATTTTATGAAATTCAAAATACCCTATGGTTCACGCGTGAATAGGATGGAAAAAAAAATGAACCCGCCGGGAAAAACTGAAAACCGAATTAAACGAGTCAGGTTTGGGATGATAAACGGGGACGGGGACGGGATGGAAAAAATTGAATGTTTTAAACGGGGACGGGTTTGGTAATCCCCGCCCCGATTACCCGATACTCGGCCCGATAAATATTAAAAATAATTATTATATATATATATATATAATATTAATAAATTTAATTTAAATTAAAAATATATATATAATATTTATATATTTAATTTAAATATATATACCCGACCCGATACCCGTTTAAATAACCGTTTATGCTCAACGGGGATACCCATTTTCTCTCGGTTTTCCTCGATTACCCAATGGGGATCACCGTTTAAATCCCTGCGATTTTTAAGCGGGGACAGGTATGAGTTTTTTAAATGGGGATGGGAACGGGGGGACCAATACCCGGCTCGAAACCTCCCCGTTGCCATCCCTACGCGTGAAAATCATCTCTCCCCCTCCTCCTTCCCCCATTTTCTTTTCTTACGTCATTCTCCCCCTTTCTTCTCTATCTTTTCTTTTTCAACAACACCTATTCAAAGAACAAACCCAAGAAAAAAAGATTAAAACCCTTATTTTTATGCCTCTTCAACCCTTTTTCTTAGAAAATATACTCAATCCGAAAAAACAAGAAAAGCACTATAATATTGTTGTCTTTTAGATCAAACTCCAACTATTTCTAAGAACTTCAACCATGTTCTTCATTTTAAAACACCTTTTAATTTCAAACAGATACACAAATCCATATTATTCCTATTTTTAAATCTAAATCTCAATAAATCCTTAAAACTTTCACTTCTTTCTAAAACAAACCCTGTCGTCATTACCTCCGGCCACCGACTCTCTCCTCCTATGGCCGTGACATTTCGTTTCGTTCCTCAAAATTTTTTGTGTTTTCTTTCAACCCCTTCTCACCCTCAACTTCACGACCACCTCAAGTAAAGGCTTTACAATCTCACTAGCCACCTTACATCGGTGGCCACCTCCGCTCTCACCACCATGACATCTGACCAAGGAAGAACCTAGGCTGACCCAAATGACCCTTAAACGCTTCGGCTTAACTTTTAAATCTCTCTAATTTGCTTAAACCTAAAACCCTAGAAGTCACCATCACCATCCATGGCCGTAAATTAGCAATCCTCATGCCTCAGCCACCACCTACGGTGGTCGATCGAACCAAAACCTAATCTAGACAGAACCTAACCTACCTTTTGTCCTTTAATCCCAAGTCTAGCCATAAGACCAACATGCAATCTTTTAAACAGTCAAAGGGCCCTCAACCGTTCCACTCCCGGTCCTCAACCCTCTACTATGATGACCGACTACATGAAAAACGTCCTCGGCAAGACTAAGGTAATGACTCCTCTCCTTCCTTTTTTTATTTTTTTACTTCGAATCCTACACATGCACACACAGATACTATCGAAATAAGAAAAAAAGTAAAAAAATACCTTAAAAACCATTTCTTTTTTTATTATTAGAGAACCCCATCTGTTTACAATGCTCCCTTGTTTTGAAAAAAATGGAAAAGATCCCTTTTTACAGAGTTTCTGCTGGATTTATATATTACCCTATTACAATCGAAAATTCATAAAAAACCAAAAAATTATTTGTTCTCATTCCTTTTGTTTTCGTTCAATATGTTATGTTGAGATGCTGATAGGGTCCACTGGATTTGCTCAATTGAAAGTTGGTTGAGGGAGGGACCTGTTGGGATCTTTCTAGAAGGCTTGGCAGATACACTGATGTGGAGCAAGGGAGCTGAGAAGGCTTGGCAGAGGCAATGGCGGTGACTGAAATATGAACCTAGCTAGGGTTTGGTTGGTTCCCGAATTAAATTAGGATGTGGATTAATAAACAGTGACGAATTACATTTAAATGAGCCTCTTCATTTTGGGCCTCTAATCAGTAGCTGGATCCTTTGTATAAAAAAAAATGTAGCTTGGACTTTGTAAAGTGGATCATTAAATAAAATTAATGAAAGTTAGTATTTTATTTTAGTTAATATATATATATATATATATAATTATATATATATATATATATATATATATATATTGTACTTATCATTATTCGTATATATTTAATAACTTCATAATAATACTAATATTAATATTAACCTAAAATATATACATATATATGTGTGTGTGTTTGGTTTTAACTCTTGATAAATCTAGTCGATAATTCTTTGTTATGTGTACGTATGTATAAAACGATGTTTTTAATTTTATTTGTATTTGGTTGGTTTTGTTTTTTCACATGAAGATGGTTGGACTTAACTTTTGATGCACATCTTCCCTTATAGCTAAACCTTGGATATGACATGGTAGGTTTTGTTGTGTGTGTTGAACCATGTTTAAGATTTTGCGTTTACTTCTGCATAATGGGAATTGAGTTGGTTGGGTATTTTTCAATTTTCTAAGTAACAGATTAAATTAAACATAGTGAAAATACATCAATTTTCTAAGTAACGGATTAAATTAAACATAGTGAAAATACATATGCATGCCTACTTGGCATCAGACTCGTCAGTAGAGTGCAAGGCTCTTAACCTTGTGGTCATAGGTTTAAGCCCACAGTGGCCGTTCTTGTTTTCTCCCTTAGCTCCAACCATCCATTAATGTTTTAACTTGTATGTATTGCATCAAAGAAGAGGACTGACTTCCCTTTCTAAGTCATACTGTAAGGTTAACAAATGAGATATACGCCAAGTGTGTAGTTATCTGATTGTGTTGAAACGAGATTATCTTTCTATTTTCGCAACATCAGCTAATGATGCTAATATAAGATTTTAGACAGTAAACATTGTTTGATACCCATCTTTCTGTATATACAATGTCAAGTATGAACTTTAGAGCTTCCCGTATACAATGTCAACTGAATTGTCAAAACCTCAAGGTAGGAGATTAACTGCCGATCCCCCATCTATCATGATTCTTGTTATCCCCAATCCATTAAGGTAGACGACTACTGCTATTTAACCACAACAGCTGATCATATTGATTTTTCATCGGTTTTGTTTTGTTTTGTTTTTTTGTCAGTAGGTTTCATAAGTTATCTCATTAATGGCACAAGTTAACACATTATCGGCACAACTCACGACGATTCTTCCCAGTTTTCTTAAAATATCTCTGTTCTTGCCATTGTCCTGTTTTCCTAAGATTGACCAAAAAATGAACATATCCGCAGCTATAAATTTATAACACGAGATCATTACAGAAGTGATCGTGTAGGATTGACTGCTTATTCAACTCCAATCCAAATTTCTCATTGATGCCTCGTACAAACTCGATCAACAATGTTACCATATATAGTATAAAATAAAAAAAATGTTACCATATATAGTATAAAATAAAAAATTTAACCAAAATAGTTCCTACATTATCAGTTTTGAATTTCAATAAATCAGTGTCATCGATAGTGTCTTCAATTTCTGTCATGCATCTTCTTCACCAACATTTACAGCAAAGTGCCCTAAGTTTCTATCCTGGATAGATCATAAGAGAAAAAAATCATTAACCAGGCAATTTTACTATTTGTTATGGAACACTATATCTATGTCTCATGAAAGACACCGAAACAACCTACCTTGGATTGCATCCGCTGCTTGTTCAAGATTTGGGTTCTTGCTTTGTTGATGACTGAATTTGGTGATTTCAACATTCTCTGCAACGCACAATCCCAATAAATCTGTATCAATTTCGAATCTTTGTCTAGACACATACATCGACCTAGAATATAGACCATGATAATAAACAGATTATTTTCTGTAAAACTATTATAGCAGTTCATGCCTCAGTGATGCCTAATGAATTATAGACCTAAATCTTACACCTATAATCAAAATATCATCGAAAAGACAGAAAGACGAAACACTTAACCACTTCACACGGTTAAGTAAGATTCTGGTCGAGCTAGCCAACCTTTTGACCATTGGATATATGTTCACTGCCTAGAAGATTCCTCCTTTTTGGAGTAAATCCAAAAACATCTTGAAGGAACTCGTTTTCCTGCAAAAGTGAAACAAAACATGTCAAGCTTAACCAACCAGCAAATAAAATACGAGCAAACTGCACCAAAAAGCGTCAATTTCACTAAAAGAAGATTGACCTGCATGTGTTTAGTGAAACCACCACCAAGAAAGTGCCTCAGAAAGTTCAGCTGTAGCATCAAGTTTTATCCAACATAAGAATTCATGACACATAACTAAGGTAAGAAACCCAATAACTTGAAGAGGAAGAAAGGCAACCTGAATCAACTGAGACCATGTTGATGTCTGCAATGAATCCCTACCAATCTTCATTGATGTCTCGGGACAATAACCATCCTAAGATCACCAAGATGATAAAAAGTTAACACAAGATGTCCTAGAATTGCGAGTCACGAACATGAAAGACAACAATATTAGTACCTCAAGGAACTCCAAAACATCCTTAAAAAAATTCCTCTGGTTGTTAAGATCTTTCTTGGCAGAACCTTTACCACCAGCTTCCACAGAGAGGTCTCTGACTTGATTAAGAATATTTCCCCTCAATCCTTGTATGTGTAAGAATCCTTCTTTAGATTTATTTCCTTCAGTTATTGAGCCATTATTTGAACCTTTAACTTCAGCAGAAAACTTCTCTAAGCTTCCCATCTCAAAAATTACAGCCAGTGCTTCTCCAGCAGCAATGCGCACAGATCGGTCATCCTTATCTAGCAAAGTGGACAAATATGCTATGGATCTGCATATTTTTCCAAAGATTGATCAGTCTCGGCACATTATACCGGGGAAACATACAAGTCTGACAAGGTTTTTTAACCTACAATTCTGATATTTAGACCCGAGAGTAGGTTTATAACCATGATATATATGAAGAGAGTTTAAGACTACACCCAAATAAAAAAAGACCAATGTATGATCCATAGTGTTCACTCACTCTTGCCAAAGTTTGGGACTGAGTCTCCATCCATCCATAGTCGTCAATAGAAACGACCAGGCAGATACAGTTGCTGTTATTGCAACAGCAGAGGGTTTGACAGTAACAACCTACAAGTCAATCGGAAACAATTAATTCTGAAATACATCAAATAATGAAGCATAAACACATAATCATGTTTTGACATTGACAAGATAGAAGTAGTAACTGATTCAGTGAATCTTGACAAGATAGAAGCAGTGAATCTCAAGACACTTTTGGATTTTTTCAATCAATGAAAAACAGGATACCTACATTAGAGCCTAGTTTAGGATGAACTGATTGCCACATAATTTGCATTGATTTTTCGGTTTCCTCTGGACCAACCCCCCCAACAAAAGTGATGACAGCCAAGCACTCCAGTAACTATAACATGAAACCAGGTAATATGAAACATGTTAAGCATTGTAGTACCAACAAAATACTAGAGGTAGAACAAATTTCAATTAAACTTCTTGCATACCGAAGCTATCTTAGAAGATTCAGAACCAGATTTAGAAGCCTGTGAAATAGGAGTGATCGACTCCTCCAATATTTCCCGTGCATTATCACCCGGACCAACAGTTAAAGCCAGCAAACCTACAAAAAGAAATTTATCAGCTTGAATACTTAAGCCTTGTGGTCTCTTCCATTCATGTATGCATTAGAATTTGCAAAAGCTTTTAAAACTAACCAATAACATGGGAAGCTAAAGATATCTCTTTGCTGGACCCCTTTTTGATAGAATTCAGACACTGGTGCAGTAATGTAGCAAATCTGAACAACAGCCAAAGATTACACGAGTACATGACCATTAAAAGCACGTAGATTCAAGTACTCAAACCACATTTTAAATCATAAGAAACATTTTCAACCACAACTGCAAACTTGCTCGGCAATAGAAAATAACAATCTAATGCGATGTATGTAATCTGAAGTCTGCTTAACAAATGAATCCCACCAAATGAGAGATATTCCTAACTATTGGCGTGCCAATGTTTTAACCAATTCATGAATTCTAGCCAGCTAATCCCAACTACATGAAATCTCATAGAACCATGTTCCTAATACATTGGGCAATTCTTGCAATAAAATAAATCAAAACCAAGGTTTTAAAAACACTTAAAAAGAGAAGCGCACTTTTTCTCCACAAACTGATGCTGCAAGTCGCTGTTGAAAGCCTCAATAATCGAGGCCAAGGCCTTCTCTCGTGTAGAACCCCCTTCATGTGAAAAACACCAATTGAGCAAAATCCATCTCAACAACATAACAATTCTCAAAATTGTGAGAAATCTCTAAAATTTGGCTAAGTAGCTAATTTCATCTAACCAAACAATTCTTCCCTAACCAAAGTAAACAATGAAATTGTTGGAATACATAAAATTTTCATCCAAAACATAATTAAACTATTATAGCCAACAAGAATATCTAACCTCTTTTCGTACAAGGCATCCACAGCTTCATCAAGTAAACTATTCTTTTTAAATTCGAGTTCTTCAGTTCCAGAAACCGAGAATTGATCCGATTGCATGGTCGACGATGAACTTATACTACTACTATCATCATCACTATCTAACATCATCGTATTCTTACGCTGAGTTTTACCTGCAAAAAACATATATTCATTTTATTCAGCTAAAACCCCCTAAACAAAAAATAAATAAAATCAACGCCAAACACACCCCAAAACAAATGATGGAAAATTGTACAAACGCAACTTTGACCAAGCAATTGATAACCTAATATCAATAGCAATTTGGAAAGATTATAACCTATAAACTATAAAAACAATAGGTTAATCAAATTAATTAGCAAAAATTACGCAAAGAAAGAATTTTGGAACAAAAATTCTTACGTTTACCCATATTGGTGATTACTTCTTCGCCGTCGGTTGTAATATGTCAGAAACTACAAGGTCTACTAAAAATCTGAGAATGAGATAGCTTTGAAATTAAACAACGATCGACAAAACGAAAAACCGAACAAGAATCCAAACAGAGCAACAAAGATGACAACAAAAATGAATCGAAGAACGATACAGCCATTAAATTGATATACGGAGTGGAAAATGTTTTGGACTATAAAACCAAGGAAAAGAACTCGGCGTAGAAAAAATTGAAGAACCCTAATTATATAAGAAATAAATTGAGAAAGGTATAAACTTGGAATTGGGGATCTGGTGATCGCGCAACCTATGACGTGGCAGTTTGTAGACGGCTTTTTGGGGATGTCGACGTCACGCGCCGAGTGGGACACGAGGCGAGGGTAGGGATAAATCACGTGGAATATGGATCAGACACGTGATTGTTTTTTTTTTTTAGAGGTGTGAGTTCATCTCTGTTTGACTATAGTAGTTCCTCGAGTTTCCTAGACTCTCCCATATTAGGGCAGTAAATGAGATAGACAGATAGTAAGTTATTTGATATTGATTTGATTAAGGTTTTATAAATATTTAGATCGAATTAATTCGATTTGAATTTGATTCAAATTTTTAACGAGTCGAAACGAGTTACTTGATATTCGACTTGAAAAGTTCGTAAGCAGCTCGAAAATATAGTATATTAAGATTTTATTTTCTTTAAAATAAATTATTAATAATATTAAAATTTATTTATTATTTTTTTAAAAATACAGTAAGATTTTCATGTATTTAAGGTTTAGGTTCAAGTTTGAGTTTAAGGCTTTAATCGAGTTAAGTTTAAGATTTTTTTTTCATTTCGAGCTGCTCACGAGCTTCAGTTCAGGATTTCGAGTTTGAATCGAACTTGAAAATTTTAAACTCGCGAGTTTTCGAGTCGAGTCGAATCGAGCACCATTTTAAAGTTTTCGAGCTCGACTCGACTTGTTTACGCCCCTACCCAAATGTTTGTCGATTTTTTTCAATTAAAAAATTGCAAATTTAGTATTTAAATTATTATTATTTTAATAATTAAGACATTTGCGAAAACATGGATTAAAAACTGATATTTGTCTTTTAAAATTATTTTATAAATTGACATTGTGGCAATACAATTGTAAAAGCTGATCGAGCTAAAATAAAATGAAAAAAAAATAAAAAAAATTATTATATAAATTTTATTTAAAAAGAATAAACATACATAGTGTGTATTAAAAATAATAGATTACTCAAACACTAGATAGATTAAAGGATGACAATGTCAATGTAATAATATTATCTTCAATCATTTGATAAATTTATGTTTACAAAGTTATGTTTAAATATTAGGAGAAATCGTACATCTAAACAATGTGATATTTAAGAAATTTATGGTCAAACATGATAATTTTAATTATTAAAGATATGTACTCAATATGATCAAATTAAATCCTGAACTTTAGTAGTTATTGTCTTTTGAAATACTCGAGATATTAGTATAAAAATTATCTTTTAACTGTCGCATTAGCATAATTTTGATCAAATTTATAATAAATCTTTGATAGTTCAAAATATATATGTTTAATCATGAGATTTTTAAATTTCATATCGCTTAGATATAAGATCTTTTCACATATTTAAATATAATATTTTCAACCTATCCATTAAATGATTAAAGAAAAAATTCGAACATAATCATTAACATGCACCATTAGAGTTATTATTTTGAATAAAATTTATATAATTTTAACATTTTTCTTTTGTTTTCCCATTTCAGTATAATGTTTGTTGAAAAAATTCGATATTTTTTCACCTTTGAATGGGAAATTGATTCAAATGTTGTTGAGGAAAAGTGTGGAACCAATTGTTGGTTCATATATGTTTTAATGTTCACCTTGTAAGGGTAACGTGAAATGTTTTGCTAAAATATAACATATCTTTTCAAATTTGTTTTAGAACTAAAAGGATAAATATTAAATAGTTTCTTTAAATAAAAATAATTTTGGAAATTGTTTAGTTGTCTGATTCTCATTAATGCTTTATTAGGTCAAAAATTTTCAATTGTTCACAATATAAAATCCCTATAAATACCTTGTAAACCTACCAGGTTAAACACAATTTCAAACAACTCAAAAACTATTCAAAAAGTTTTTCTTCTCCTCTAGTTTTTTTGGTGATAGACGAAGACAAAGAATAGTTCGTGATCTCGACAATTGTGCTAATGTGTGGTGATCATCTCGTTGTTGTATCCTATGAGACAAACGACTAAAGATCTCGAGCACCATGGAGTGGCCGAAAATTTATCTTAAGGAAACTGCGTAGTTGCAGGCCTCAACTTGTTTCTAATCGATTGTATCGATCCCAATTGTGTATTTATTTCTATTTTATATTCTTCTCGATTGTTTAATAGAACAAATTTTCCATTTTATTATTCATTTTGTTTCATTATTGTTTTATGTACACGAATTTTGCGACGAGATCCTGCCGTGGAATTAAATGTTATCACGACTTGTGAGAATCAATTATTTAAATAAGATTTGCCTTTTGTTTTATCGTGTGGATTGTTATACTTCTAACAATATTAAGATAGATTTTATCTTCTACCTTTCTGGAAAAATTAATCTGAAACGATTCAGAAATCTTTTTAAAAAAATTGAGATAAGCAAATAAATTCATTTTCGGAATTTATCCTGCCATTTTAATGGGTTTGCTTAATTTCAAAGTGGACAAATATATTTAATAGAACTTGTTGTTAAAGTGACGTTGGTTACTAAGTTTGAAACGTTGTTTCTGTTTGATAATAAAAATTGAAAATAAACGAGATTGATTTGGATATGCGCAATAGTACATGAACTTTTTGCAAATTATTTTGCAAGCTCACATAGGAACCGGCTTGTGTAAATGCACAAATGCATGGTGACTAAAGCATGATAATTTACTTTTTTGCAAATAAAAGAATAAATGTGATTCTTTATTTATGGAAAAAATCATATGTGGTTATTGCCTATAAATGTAGAGCAATTAAATAACGAATGTGATTCTTTCTATATTATGATATCGTTGGGAAATATATTATGGTAAGATTTTACTCATAAAAGTGCACTTGAGCGTTAATCATGATATTATTGTTTTAGTATTATTAACATATAATTTTTGGCTTATTAATATGGAATATTAAATATGACATGAATAAAAAAATATCTTTGATATTGATTGATTGTGTTTTGAAAATACTATAAATTTTATTATCGTACTAATAATTTCTTTTTGAGAAATTTTGTAGATGCAAATGAATATAGAGTTTAATCAAAGGCTTTTAATTATTGGATTGCCAAAAGTAAAATCAAAGGATTAGTTCATTTTAATTATTGTGCTGCCAAAAACATAATCAAATGATTAGTTCCTTTTAATTATTGAGGTGCAAAAATTAAAATCAAATAATTAGTTCCTTGTGATTATTGGGTTGATAAAATTAAAGGATTAATTCCTTTTGATTTCTGTTTGTTAAACATAACAGAGTTGTTGTGATATGTTTGTTTTGGGTTTTAGTGTTACTAATCTCGTCGGTTAACATAATATAAAGGAAATAAATCACTATATTTATTTAATCGTTAGAATCTTGTGTTGATTCTAACATTGTAAGGAAAATAAAAAAATAAATTTATTTCCTTGAGAATCTTAAATGATTTTATCTTTTAAAAGGAATTAAATCGTCGGATTTATTTTCCTAGTTTGTAAAAAAAATCATTGGATTTATTTTACTATTTTGTAAAAGAAAATAAATTGTTTTAAATTTATTTTATTAAGAATCTTATATGATTCTAATATGTAAAAGAAAATAAATCGTAGAATTTATTTTTCTATTTTGTAAAAAGAAATAAATCGTTGGATTTAATTTCCTATTTTGTAAAAGGAAATAAATCAAAATAAATTGTTAGATTTATTTTCCTGTTTTGTAAAAGTAAATAAATTATTGAATTTATTTTTTAAGAATCTTAAATTATTCTAGTTTGTAAAAGAAAATAAATCATTGGATTTATTTTCCTATTTTATAAAAAAAATAAATTGTTGAATTTATTTTCTTGAGAAACTTAAATGATTCTGGGTTGTAAAAGGAAAAAAACAGTTTGATTTATTTTCTTATTTTGTAAAAGGAAATAAATCGTTGGGTTTATTTTCTTGTTTTGAAAAAGGAAATAACTTGTTGAATTTATTTCCTGATAATTTTACATGATTCTGAGTTGTAAAAGGAAATAAATCGTTGAATTTATTTTCTTATTTTGTAAAAGAATTTCCTGGTTTGTAAAAGAAAATAAATCGTTGGATTTATTTTCTTATAAATTAAGAATGATTATACTTAAAAAAAGGAAATAAATTATTTTATCGAAAATCAAGTATGACTATTTTATAAGAAAGAAATAAATCATTAAATTTATTTATTGAAAAACTCTATATGTTTGTAAAGTGAGATATTGAAAGTAAATTTACTTTGGGAATTTTATTCTTGCCATTTTAATAGGTTTATTTGATCTACTTTTACAAACACAAAGGAATAAATATTTTATTACCTTCATTGATAATAGAAGAAAGTATTGATATGTATTTGCCAAAGAGCAAAAATGATGTTATAGAGAAATGTATTCTCTCTATAAACCCAAACTTGAAAATCAATTTAATAAAAAAATATTAACATGGTAAGAAGTGCTTATGATGGTGAATAAATTGAACCATTAATTGGTAAATAATGTGCACAACATGATATTATTCATAAAGTGACACCATCATGAAGTAGCAAAGCGGAAGAATTAAATCTTAAACGCAATGCTAAGAAGTTATGGGTTATCACATAACATGTGGCGGGAAGTTATTTTTTTTCCAGCAAGTTACCTTTTAAATAAGGTTCTCCAAAAAAAAAAAGGACCAGACACTATATGAGTTATGAAAATGTAGAAAATCCTTCTACAATTACTTAAAAATGTATGGGTGTCTTGTATAGATAATGATCTCGTTATCGAAGGGAAAGAAATCTCAAATCGGTGGATTATATTGACTATGCAAAGTATAGCAAGACATATCGACATCTTGTGTATGAATCAAAAAACCCCAAGATTCACAAGAACACTATAACGAAATCAAGGAATATCTCATTCTTTGAAAATATATTCCTTTATAAAACTAAGGAAGATGATCGAAGACTATCAATAAAGATAAGTCTATATGTTCAACAAAAGGTTGAAACAAAGATATTATC